CTGATGGCTAGAAAAGACAGCTCGGCTGCATAGAGATCTTGTAGGGCAGTGTAAGGGGAGTGTCTAGGGGTACACACAGGCTCAGGATTGGTGTGCCTCCAGGCTTGGAAGGCTTGCCCTGTGTTGATTGGCCAACTGGTTGTTATGGCCCATAGGTCCTCCCAGGGTGGTTGCTATGCTCTGTGCATCATTGCTGTGCACTTGTCCATAAAGCACACCCAGTGCCGTAAAGCATAGTGCCACCAGCTAACTTCTGATTGGTTCCTTGCCACGAGGCAGGCACCTAACCTCTAGTGACCAAGGCAAAGTCAGAAAAGCATGTGTTACTGTCATGGCTGCCGAAAGGGGCAGGCATCTGACCTTAGTGACTAAGACAAGGTCAGACAAATACATGTTCGGCTGTTATGGCTGCTGAAATGGGGAGCTGGTCCCTTCACCGCCTACGCCCGGCATAAATAAAATCTTAAAAAAAAAAAAAGATATCCCTTGAATTTCCCTCGGGTCAGGTTTGAAATCCCGCTATAGGGGCGGCACTCAGTTCGGACCCTGGGTCCTTTTTGGTTTCGGGACAGCTGTGTCCCCTTCAGGGACAGCAACTCCCACGGGCCGACAGTCATCTGGAGAGGAGCTTTTGCCGGTTTTTCCACTTGCCTCACCCATGGGAAATGCATAAGGAACCTTTCTGGTTGCAGCCAACAGGTGGGTAAACAGACAAAAAAAGCAGCTTATGGTCACCGCCATCTTGGCCATATGGTCTGACCTGAGGGCCGCCATCTTGGCCATGTGACCTACCTGTAGGCATGCCCACTCCAGCAGCTTGTGCCAGCAAACCTGGCTGTTGGACTTTTGCTTTCTGTCAGAATTCTTTTCTGCTTTCTTATTTGTGTGTGTGTGTGTGTGTGATTTTTTCTTTCACTGGCTCTGTTGCTCATGGCTTGTTTACTAAATACTGTGCCTTTCCAGGGCCCTCTGTTTAAGTCTGTTCTGTCCCTTTAAATCTCCTGTCTGTTTACCACAATGTATGGATCAGAGAATACATTCTGGTTCCCCCCTTTTACTCTTAACCAGTCCTACTTGTCTCTGCACATGTAATTTAAATTTAACTTTATACTAATCTAACTCTATATACAACTTAAATTAAACTGTGCTGTCTCATATTTCTAAATTGCTATTTATCTTTAAGTGATGGTAAACATTTAAAGTCATAAAGATCTAATTTAACTATATTTAAAATATAAGCTAACTCTATACAACTTAAATTTAACTCATGTATCTTTAAATATGATGAAAGTTTAAAATCATAAAGGTCTATTTCAAATTAACAAAATATTTATGCCACTCAGTTCATCCTGTACGCCATTTACAAAGGTATAGCTTTTTATTACAAAAGGGGATTTTTCTCTAACTAAAGGCAAACTTTTGACTGCTGAGATACTAAACAGCCCTCAAATGTTCAGAGATCTAGAGAACATGACATTTAAAATGTTTTGTTAAAAAGCTTTCTATAACAGAGATAGTCCAGGTGCTGGCTCCACCCCATTTCCTCCAAGAAGACTGATGGGCACAGAAGAAACTTCATCTCAAGTCAGTGACAACACTAGCCACTAAGCAACCCTGCCTTTCACCTCAGCTGCTACAAAGTACTCCAGACTGTGGATAAGAGGATAATGGAATCGACTTTCCCTGCATTGTTTGGGCCAACGGTAGGTGAGCCTTCCTGTAGTCCATAATCCACAGGTCACATGCTAACAGCAAGAAGGCAGGTGTCCTGCAGCCCGCTACTATGGATGGAGGACCTTGGGGGTAGCTGTCCATGCAGCCTGCTGGCAAGCCTCTGTTATTCTTTAATCATTGATTCAGGTAAAATCTTATCCTTCTCAAGAACTCTGATGCTTCTGATGACTGGTAGTCTTGCCAGCTTAAAACAAAACAGATTTCAGGAACAGCTTTTTTAGGGTTTATCTATGTGAAGACAGGAAAGTGTATGAAGGTCTGAGAATGTAAGGTATAAAGGTCTGAGGATGGAAGGTCTAAGATGGTAATGTAAGGTGTATGAATTAAAGTTATGAAGGTCTGAGGATAAAAAAGCTTAAGTGATGATAAAGTGGGTTGAGACATTAAAAAGAATGAAATGTGTTCCAGATTCCTCTATTTCTCATTACTGTTCATAGTAAAGTTCTACAATACCACTATATGATCATAATTACAAGGTCAAGATTAAGACACTTTTCAATGTCCTAAAAAAAAAAAATCTGTCAATTTTAAAATGGTAATGCTTTCAGCCAAGTTGCTTCTAACATGAACATGCTGCTAATGTATCTAATACTTATGTCTCCACAAACTCTAAGGATTCTTGTAAGTTCCAGGGAGCTGAATTGGATCCAAACAAACAGGTCAGATTCACTCCAGTTATTCGATCTTTCCCTGGTCCCAGGACTCCCTTCCTTCTTGTTGGGACACCTCAGGAACCCCTCCCTCATCTTACAATCTTCCCCTCAAGTGACAGGACCTAAGAAGAAAAATTTTTTTCTAAACTTAACCTTTTCCTCTGCTCTGCCAACATCTTGGCAGGTCTAAGAGGCACCAGGGAGTTCCACACAGCCTGGACTGCGATGAAACAACCAGCTACCCCAGACGTGGCAGTACCCCAACCTTCTCAGGCCCCCCAAAGATGGCCAACGCCCCCCACGTCAGCAGGAAGCAGTCTTGAGAATTTGAAGTCCTTATTTCTTAATCAGCCATGTCTGACACCCCACCTTTTTTTTTTTTTTTTTTAAGATTTATTTATTTATCATGTATACAGTGTGTGCCAGAAGAGGGCACCAGATCACATTGGTTGCTGGGAATTGAACTCAGAACCTCTGGAAGAACAGTCAGTGCTCTTAACCCCTGAGCCATCTCTCCAGCCCTGCATCCCACCTTTTTAAAATAATAAGTAAAGGTGGGATTGAAAGCTTCAGGCATTATGCTGGCCTGCCCCTGTTACCTGGCAGAACAGGCAGTACCCTGGTCAGCCCAGGGTTCCATGGGAACTAAGTCTGCACACAGGTGCAAAGGACCCCTTTAAAAGACAGACCCCTGCCCATTTGCGCTCTCTATTCCTCTCCTCTCCCACCTACATTCTCTCTGCCTCTCTATAGCGACCGGCCATGGCGGTCAGCCATTAACCAGGTCCTCTTCTCTCTTAGTCTCCCTACTCTGCCGGGCCTATAATAAACTAGTTAATATGTCTAACATGTCTCATCTTGTGCCTCCTCTTTTCTTTTATTTCTAATTTAAACAAAAATCTAACACAAGGTACTAGCAAAGCATTGTAGCTAACTCCCTGGTTTGGAGCATAGCACTGTGTTATTTAAGAAAACAGTTTTATCTTCAGGAACTGGATGATTTTAAAGTCTTTGGGGGCATGCCAAGAAATTCCTCAGGGATGGTTCAGGAGGAAATGCATATATTTGCAGAGAATGAAGTGACTAAGAAGGCTTCCATCTGAAGGATCTGGGCAAAGGGCATAGAAGAATTCTGTATGTAGCTTTTGCAGCCTCTCAATGGTTCTGACATTAGTTCATTAATAAAAGGTTAGAAGGGTAAGGAGGGAAGTCTTGGTTGGTAGTTTCTCATGGTTCCTCACTTTACCCATTCTCCTGCCCAGAATAAGGATATAATGTTGGAGATTGAAGAGCCAGCAGGCAGCCATAAAGTAAGACAGGTGTCCTGGCAGGCAGACGAAACTTGGAGCCCATATGCTATCCTGGGAATTTACCATGCACTGTCACCTCCAGATATCTTACCTAAGACACTCTCCATCGTTCTGCTGAAGTGCATAGGGATTCAGTGAAGGCGGCAAAGATCAGTAATCCAGTCTACAGGTGTAGCTCGGTACACTGGTCTACCATGTGTAAGGCCCTGGTTTCTATCTTATTAAATTTTATTTTGTATTATATTCACTGTTGTTGTTGTTTTTGCCTACTATATGTCTACTATTTGCCTATAGTATGTCAATGAGAGGTGTCAGAAGGCATGGAACTAGAGTTACAGACAGGGGTGAGCTGCCATGTGAGTGCTGGGAATTAAAACTGAATCCTCCTTCTACAAGAACAGCCAGTGCTCCTAACCGCTGATCCATCTTCCAAGCCCCTTGCTATGCCTGATGGAGGGAGTCGTGGTGGTGATTTTCTCAAGGCCACAATTCTAAAGTGGCAGGATGGCAATGAAAACTGTCTAGATCTGCAAAGAAACTATGCCTTTGGGCTCATTCCACATTAAAGGCAGGCCTCATTCTGTGAAAAGGGATAGGAATTCCAAGTCTCAAATGAGTGATACATGGGAAAGAACTGTGGGGCTTGGTACAGAGGGCAGAGAGCAATTCCAATGTTTGCTGAATCAATAATTCAAAAAACCAAGCACATCTGTTTTTCAGTGTTCTGGTACAATGAGCTATTTTAAGCAAGGGGTGGCGGGGTGGGGGACGGTGTGGGGGTGTGGTCACTGTATTTATGTGGGTGAGTTGGCTGTAGATATTAGTCAGCAATTTCATTCAGTTTCTTGGCTCTCCCAGTTCTTTCCCCTCCTTCAGGCCTGCCTAGAAGCACTCTGACACTTTTCCAGTCAGCTCTTCTGAATATCTACCTCTACAAGGAGGGAGGGCAAGGTTGGAGTATATGAAGGACCACTCTTCCCAGATAGCAAAAGTAAGTCCAAACTAGGGAGCTCTGGCCAGAGCTGAGCAGGGACTGAGCTTCTGAAAGCTCTAGGTGGAAGAGCAAAAGCTGCTGTGAGGACCTGAATGCCAGCCAGATCAACCTGTCACACGTACCCTGCTGTGGGTCCTGGCCCCCATGGCCCTCATTGGAGACAGCTTGGACATCCTAATCCTACTTCACAGACTGAGGCCAGGGCTTTAGGCACATTTTCTTTTCAAATCTAGACAATAAAGTGGGAAATTACCAATACGGTGCCAAGCAGAAATATAAGGGTATTTAATAGGGAAAAGCCTTACTTACAGAGCGACCTAGCTGTCGTGGCAGCAGTCTGTCCAGCAAGCCGAAAAGTGTGAAACCGAAACTGAAAACCCAGCCACCTGAACCTCTCACTCTACATCACCCTGACCACACCCTTGAAGGCGTGGTCAGGCACACCCCTAAGCAGGCAGCTTCCCCTACAAGACAAGACTATTTTGGAACTATGGACTTGAGAAAATGACTTTGGATCTCCTCAAACCCCCATCCCATGGTGCTCAGTAAGGGACTAGGATGATGACTCAGTGGTTAAGAGCTAATATAGCCTCACACGAAATGTGCTAAACACGTCTGTGCCCTGCTTTGTTTAAAAGGGTGTAGATTCTGGATGATTTTTTTTAAAAAAAGATCCTGACATCTACCATCCATCAAATTAATAGCAAAAATACCAGTATTGTCACTTTGCTCTGGCCCAAATTCTAGGCCCAGACCTGGTTAGTAGCCTTTCAGGAAGGACACTGGCTGCTGCAAGACCTGAGATCTTGGATCATAGAGGTTTTGTTGTTTGAGACCGGGCCTCACTTAGCTCTGGTTGGCCTGCAACATCCTCCTGCCTCTACCTTCTGAGTGCTGGGGGTTTGTTTGCTTGTAGACAGAGTTTCTCTGTATAACTTCCCTGGCTGTCCTGGAACTCATTCTATAGCCCAGGCTGGCCTCAAACTCAAAGATCCACCTGCCTTTGCCTCCCCAGTGCTGGGATTAAAGGTGTGCACTATTTTTATTTCCAACTGTGTGTGAGGATGTAGAATGTATGTATATGGGTACACGCATGACACCGAACACATGTGAGAGTAAGAGGATAACTCTGTGGAGACAGTTACCTCCTTCCGTCTCCAGGCAGGTATAGGGGATGGAACTCAGGTTACCAGGCCTGTATCATCAGGTTGTAATCACCTGTACCTTCTGAGTGGTCTGGTCAGCCTGGATCCCAGGAATTTTACAATAGATAGGAAATACTTGGTAGATTTTCTGGGATTTGGCTCTGAGTCTATTTGAGTCTCACAGACTTTGTGGCCCTGCCTCAGAGAGATGTGTGTGGCAGGTGGGGAGGAGGAGGTGAGGAGGGCAAGTAGGGGGCTCTTTTAGGTCTTTATCTTAGTCAATGTTCTATTGCTGTGAAGAGACACTGTGACCAAGGTAGCTCTTATGAAAGAAAGCATTTAATTAGGGAATTGCTTACAGCTCCAGAAGCTTAGTCCATTATCCTCTTGACAGGGAGTGTGGCAGCATGCAGGCAGGCACTGGAGCAGTAGCTGAGAGCTACTTCCTGATCCAAGAAAGCCTGGTATGAGCTTTTGAAACCTTAAAGCCCCACCCCCACTGACACACTTCCTCCAATAAGGCCATACCTCCTAATTCTTCTAATCCTTTCATATAGTACCACTCCCTGAGACTAAGCATTCAAATATGAGCCTATGGGGGCCATTCTCATTCAAACCACCATATCTACCTTCAGTTATTTCCTTGCAGATAGAAATATAATCCGATTGAAAATTCCTTTGATTATAAACCAGCATGTTCTGTTGAAGCCTTTTCAGAGTCACAGGACAGAATCAAGCGATATGCTAGTGCACACCTGCAGAGAAGTGAGGCTAAAGGGAAGGAGCCTCTCTGCCTCTCAGGGCTTATGTTCTCCCTCTTCCACCTCTCATGCCACTGTCCAGGGCCTCCAGAGTAGCTGGCAGGGCTATCTTCTTCTGTCTTCAATGTACCTGTACATGACAGTTCTGGATTCTCCACCTACTACCTGCAAGTTATTCAGCTGAGCTCTTCCTGGTTATCTGGGTGCTGTAATCACTAATCATAAGGCATTGGCATCCCATAATCAACTCCATTAAAAAACTAGAATGGGGGGCTGGGAATGTAGTTGAGTGGGAAGCAGCATGCTTAGCACGCTTGCATCCCTTGGTCTGAGCCCTAGTACTACACACACACACAGACACGCACACACTTCAGGGGTGAGAGGTGTTTGTTAAAATTAAAAAAATAAATAAAACTGGAATTGAGGAGAGTGAAGGTAAGCTGGCTAGCTCCAAAAGGTTCTAATCCTAGAAGCCCAGACTACCTTGAAGGACAATATTCTGTTCTCAAGAGACAAACAGCCCTGCCACATCCTCACATGGGTCACTAGCAAGTAAGACAGACAGCTGCAACTTGCCCTGTACCCCAGGCTTGCTGGAGAAGGGGCTGGGATTCCATAATAAATCATCTTATACTTCCATGGAATCTTGGCATCATCAGTCAATAAGAACTTCAAAGGTTTGGTCTAGCTGTGGAATGAGACAATAAAAATGCTAATCCCGAGTCTTAACTGCCTAGGACCTGCCTGTTCAGCCAGCTGTGGGGAAAGACAGAGCATGGAGAGGTGACAGTCAAATGTCCCACAAAAGCAAAAGTGCTTTGTAATGGTTTGGATCCCATAAATTCATTCCTCAATAGTTGTATACAAATATTGTTTGGGATTCCTAGTTTCGATTTTCTATAAGCAAGCACTTCCATTGATCATATTTTCTTAGATTTAGAAACAGGAAGACACAATTAAAAAAAAAAAAAAAAAGATCTAGAGCTCCATGCAGATAGAAAACGCAATACAAATTCCTTGCGTCAAAGAACAGCATCATCTGCTGAACCTTTTGCAAAGCCCCAGAACTGAGGCCAGCACATGTTAGTGGCATTGATGACAGAGGTATTCTAAAAACAGCTAGGTGCTAGAGACATGGCTGCATGGTTCGAGAACTTGCTGCTTTTCTAGAGGACCTGAGTTCGAGTCCCAGTACCAACATGGTGTGGCCCACAACCACCTGTAACTCCAATTCCAGGGGATCTGACACTCTCTTCTGGCCTCTGAAAGCCCTGCACACACGTCATACACAGACACATATGCAGGTAAAACACCAACACACATAAATAATAATAGAAGTAGTAATAACAATGGTGATAAAGATTTTAAAACCTAGCAAGGGGCTCCAGATGCAGCTCAGCAGAAGTGCTTGCTACCAAGCTTGACAACTTGAGTTCCATCCCCATGGATGGAAGGAGAGAACCAGCTCTTGGTTTTTTGAGACAGGGTTTTTCTGTGTAACAGTCCTGGTTGTTTTGGAACTTGATCTGTAGACCAGTATGGCCTCGAACCCACAGAGATCTGTCTGCCTCTGCCTCCCGAGTGCTGGGATTGAAGGCATGAGCCACCACTGCCTGGAACAAGTTCAGTTCTTAAGAAAATGACAATACACACCAAGGATGAGCTGGGTCTTCACCAGCACATTTGTCAGCAAGTACTCACTGTGTTTCAAGTCCTATCATCTAAGAAACAACCCCAGCAGGTAGGTAACAATTGCCTGTTCCTTTTTAGAGAGATGGGGCAAAAAGCGTGGATTTAAGGGCACTCGGAGCAGCCCAACTATTCCAAGTCCTGGCATCGGTCACCACTTCGCACCTCCTGAGAAGGCTGACTGTCCAACATTTTTGACTCTGAATCTTTTTGTTTAAACCAAAACGGGAAGCATTAGAAATCCAGTAAGGCGGGGCAGTGGTGGCACACACCTTTAATCCCAGCACTCGGGAGGCAGAGGCAGGTGAATTTCTTTGAGTTGCAGACCAGCCCTGTCTCTAAAAACAAAAACACAATAAAATAAATAAATAAATAAATAAATAAATAAATAAATAAATAAATCCAGTCAGTTGGAGAAGGATGTGCATAAACCCCGGCCTTTTTCTTGCCCCTTCCTCTAACATGGATTCCTAGAACCTCCACAATACTTTGGAAGGAGCCTCGAGGGGCTGGATTTCTGGAGCTGAAGTACAGTTAGTAGAGTGTTTGCCTGGCACACATGCACATGTCCAGTCCCTAGCACTGCATGAATAGGGAATGCCATAGTGGCACACATCTGAAACCTCAGCACTTGGAAGGTAAATGCAGGGGGATCAAAGGTTCAAAGTCATCCTCATACTATACAGTGAATTTGAGGCCAGCCTGGGATATGAGACCACATCTCAAAGACAACAAGAGAGTGTCTCATAGTGAGAAAGAATGAGGACACTTCCTTTAGACCGATCTAGAACAGTCGCCAAGCTACAGCTATGTTAAACAAGAATAACTGGGCTTAGGACTGTCTCAGTGGTGGTGAGCACTTTACTAGAATTGGTGGTACTCTGGGTTTACTCTCCAGCTTACCAAAGGAGGATAATCGATCTAGAACAGCAGATACCATACAATACAGTTATTTGTATTATCAACAAAGCAGTATGACACTCACACACATGTGTGCCACACACACTAATTGTATGAGGATGAATATACACTTGCTTATGTTAACTGCCCGGATGACCAGAAAGTGGTAGGGAACTTTCATATACACCCTTCTGCTATTTTAGATCAGCTATGTGTGATAGTTAATGGTTATTTGCTTTGTTTTGAGACAGAACTCTATGTATCTCAGGCTGGCTTCACGTTTACTATATAGCATAGGCTTTGAACTCCTGATCCTCCTACCATCACTCAAGTGCCAGGAGTATAGCCTATGGCTTTTGTTTTTGTTTTATTGGTTTTTAGAGACAGGGTTTCTCTGTATTGTTTTGGAGCCTGTCCTGGAACTTGCTCTGTAGACCAGGCTGGCCTAGAACTCACAGAGATCCGCCTGACTCTGCCTCCAGGGTGCTGGGGTTAAAGGCATGTGCCACCAACACCCGGCCTTGTTTTTGTTTTTGCTTAAAGATGATCAAACTTGATTGTCAACTTGATGGAATTCAGAAGACCCAGGAGTTGAGTATATCATATCTCTGGGCTTATCTGAGAGGGCATTTCCAGAAAGGATTTACTAAGGTGTAAGCTTTGGAGCCAGATGCCAGCTCAAGTTCATCTCTGCCAATTCCCAGAAGGACACCACTGGTCAAGATGATACTCTTATTTTTCCATTTCTAAAGCAGAGTTAACAACACTATCTGCAATCAGGTTGCTGCTGCAAGGACTGGGTCAATTTTTATTGGGTCAGGTTTGACGGAACACATCTGTAATTCCAGCACTCAGCATGTGGACTCAAGGCTAACCTGATTTACATAGAGTGACACCCTGCCTCAGAAAATACAACAAAACATTCAGACAAAGAAAAAGTGAACTAAAAAAAAAAAAATCATCATTATTATTGTGGTACTGAGTGATGAATCCAGGGCCACACCAATGCTAAGCAAGCTTTCTGTATGTGTGGGAAGATTTGTTTGTTTTTGTGGCATATTGTTTTCTGTCAGGGTCCCACTTAACTTGCTGTGTACCTTGAACTTGTGATCCTCCAACCCCCAGTTCCATCTTCACCTCCTCAAGGTGATTCGGTCATGGGGATGAAATCCAGGACTTCCAGCATGCTTGGCAAGCACTGTACCAGCTTGAGCTACACTTCCTGAGCTGGGCTTCCAAACCTAAGCATGCTTCAAACATCAAGCTACATCTCCAGCCCAGGATTCTTTTATGCAAATCCCTTTGAATGGAGCCTAGCAAATAAAGGGTACAAGTACTTGACGTTGTTATCAATTACTCGTGAATTTTGACTGTTGCCTCATTATCAATTTTGTTGTATGTGGCTTGGTTAACTGGATAGTAATGAAGTCATAGTAACAATGTTTTGGGATACTGCTTTTCCAGTGTCCCAAAAGGTTTTAAAAACCTGAATGGGATGTGTTTCAACCACAGAGGATCACTTCTATTCATTCCTCTGAGGCAATGGTTCTCAACCTGTTGTTGTGACCCCTTTGGGGGTCAAATGGCCCTTTCATTGGGGTTTCGTATCAGATATCCTGTATATCAGATAGACAACTCATATAAGTAGCAAAATTACAGTTATGAAGTAGCAACAAAAGTAATGTTATGGTTGGGGATCACCACCACATGAGGAACTGTATTAGGAAGGTTGAGGACCATCACTTTAAGGCATGGACAACCCTCCCCCAACCGCCCCTCCAATCTATAAAACAGTCTTATGAAATGATGTTTCATTGTTTTTGCTGAGTTCCCCCACCCCTGCTCCCTTCCCAGAAAGTAAACAAAGGATAGGCAAGCTCGACCACTGAAGGAATTGGTTTTTACAAAAAACGGATTACAAAATAATGAATTTTAGTAGATGGTCTTGGTCAAGAAGTTTGGTTTAGGAAATGGAAGATTCATCTCATCCACTCAAAGTTTTAGATTGTGGAAATTTCCCTGAGACACGCCTGAATCCCAGAGTCAGAAACACATGAGTGTAAGTCAGACAGTCACAGCTTCCTTGTGTTTTCTCTTGCTTTATCAGTTAACAAGTGGTTCTTATGCAGGTACCATTGGAGAATTCTGCCATGACTAGAATAAGGAATAAGACACTGTCCTTAACTCTTCTAAAAGTTCCAGTGTCGCTGCATTAATATGTAACCCTCTTCTTAAATAAGGAGTCCACTTAGGGACTGCTCCCTACTTGGGCTCCCTCAGCTCCCATCTTGGGCATAAATAAGAGCTTGCTCACACCTTCTAGGCCTCCTCTTTCCACCCCAAGTAGTGAGCAGAACAGAAGTGAGATTTCGAGGCTGGGGAATGAGGTAAGGTTTACCTGCTTCACTTCTGCACCCAAATGTCCATCCTTCAGTCCTTCTCACACACAGTGCCCCCTGCCCAAGGCATACTGTTAGGAAACAGTCAAATGATAGGAAACATTCTAAGTCGTAACAACTCTGTCCACCACAGTTTAAAATAAGATATTTTAACAAGGTTTGTCCCTTACAACAATTTTGTTAAAATGTCAAGGTCCTGTATTCCATTACCAAATAACAGAAAGAGATGCCTCTCCCAATCATATCAGAGCTCATCCCTTAGGGTAGGACAAAGTGAAGCTTGGGCCTGAAGAGGCAAGGTCAGGCTCAGGGAAAGGGGAGACTGTTAGGAAAGGTTCTTCACAGGCTTTACTTGGTGACTGCTGAGAATTTAATGGTTACTTTTTTTAGGCTGCAACAAAATGCCTCCATGGAAAATGTCTAAAGCAAAATGTCAAACAGAGGACAATACTCAGCACACAGTACTTCTGGCAGCAGTACCCCACCATGCCCTGTGTCCAGGCTTAAGACCTTGGACTAAAATGAACCCTTACCATGGCCTTTATGGTGTGTGTTCTGTAATTCACAGGCAGAATAGACCTTCTCCTTTGGCATACTAGTCACACGGATTCATTCAACAATTTCTGCACATATCCATCAAAACACTCTCTATATATGATCTGTAAAGAACAGTAAGCAACCGGTATACAAACAGTCCCGTTAGTAGGTCCTGCAAAGTGACCGCACACAGATGTGCATCTTGACTTTAAGGAACTCTCCTGAGATGCTGGAGTTGAGGCTTAAGGAACAAGCACGACTCTGCCTCACAAGGAAGGAAAGGGCACACTGAGGCAAAAGAAAATCGCTGAGTAAGTAAGGGACACAGGAGCTGTAATCCTAACAGGTATGTTTCTCAAACTAAAGAGTTTGGATTTCATTACAGAGACTTGGGAAGCACTGGAGGATTTTAATAAGACAACTGACATAATTTTTCTTGGGCTCACCCAAGGGTGGACTGAGGGAAGCCAGGGCTGAATGTAGACGAACTAGTTAGGAAGCTACTGCTGTAATCTCAGTGCGAAGTGAGAATATAAGAAATAGCAACAAGCAGAGTATCCAAGGAGAGGAAGGATTTGAGAAATATTCTACACATACAAATTATACACTCACATTAAACATGTAAAGTTGGAAAGCCAAAGTCTTCACAGTTTCCTCCTTCTGGCTTAGGGAATTATTTGGGTAGAGGTACTATTGAGCATGCTAGAGCATGCAGTGGAATCATACTAATTTTTTTTTTTTTTTTTTTTTTTTTTTTGGAGGGAGGCTGGGAAAGACGAGTTCAATCTTAAACGGCACATCTGAGACCTACGGGGAATTGAAACCAAGAGATGCATGAGTCAATTCGCTCACTAGGCTTCCGGTATCAAGACTATTTACAAGACTATTCCAGAAGCATGTGTACCTGGAAGCCTCATTTGGAAAGAACAAGTATACCGATCTGGGAAAATGACATTTTGGCATGTTAAAAACACTGAAAATGCAGAAATCGAGAGTTAATGGGGGGGGGATTATGCTACTGGCTACCAAACTGACACTCTGGAACAATTTATTTCTAATTTCTTACTAGACTGAGGTAAACGCAGGGCTCAGTGGCGGTTCCTTCTCACACTTGAAAATGAGCGGAGTACCTGGTATTTAGACCTCTTAGTAGGGCTGAGAAGCAAGAATTCAGAAACGCGCCCTCCAGTGGCAGTGGAACGAGGGGTCTCCAGCACCCCGTTACCACCAAACAAAGCCCTGTGAAGAAATGCAATTTACGAGGATCAAAAGGCCACATCGCTCGTACCGCTTAACCAAAAGAAGCAAACGAATCCTCCCAGGGGCCCAGAACCCCCCTTACCTGTCACGTTGACCAAAGGAAAATTTCACTTTCGACTCGACAAAACAAGCCCTCAGATTTGACAGCTCGCAGTCCGTCCCGCTCGGCGACAAAACACCTAGCTGCCTAAGAGCGCGCAGTCTATCAGATCCTCCCGAGCCGACTGGGCTGGGCTGCGACCACGTGGGTGCCCACGGCCAGCAGCAGCAAGCCGCGCAGGGCGGAGGAGGGGGCGTGTCCGTGGGGGTGGGGGAAAGGCCCTGTGGTGGGCGGGGGCCGCGGAGCCGGCCTCCCT